TTTTGGAAGGGCGGGAGCAGGAGATACTGGCTGAGGAGAAGGAGCAGCCCTGTCAGTCAGATCAGGATGGCAAAGCAGATAGCACAGATGAAGTCATTTTTCTGTCCCGCCACCAGGAGCCTACCTGTGCGGGTAGCTCCAACCTTGGTGACCTCATTGGCCTCTTGCAGCAACAGATGCGTTCATCCGATTGGCTACAGAAAAATACAGCCGAGCAGTTTGCACAGGAAAAGCCAGAGATCTACGATGTGTTCAGCAAGCTGGTGGGGAAGCAGTAGGGGGTCAGTGTGCCTTCAGGGGGTTCCCTGAGCAGTGACTGACCCTGGTCCCCTAACAGCTCAGCAGTGACTTCCAGCAAATAATATATTTTCTGTATAGCAAGAAAATCACTTTGTAAAACCCCTCCTCTCCCCGCTGTTTGAGATCTCTAATTTGTATTATATAGGTGCATTCCTTGGATTGGGGTGAGGGTAGGGAATGGTGGGGGTCTTGTTTGCCTGCTGCCCCCTGTCCTGCGGCATCAATGTATTTTGTATTTCATTTCTAATGAATATGCTCTTATGTCTCTTATAAGGTCCTGTGGTGTCATTTTTTTATGCTTCTTATTTCACACTTCCCAGGAAGACAGAGACTTGAGATTGTTAAAATGTGTAAAGTTTCCCTTTTCCTGAATGATGATCAGATGTAATGAGCTATTTCCGGGCCAGAAGATGACAGCTTTGGAAAAGAGGTGGTTTTGGGAGATAGAACCCCGTGTCAGCCCTAACTTAGCCTCAGCTAAGAGTAAATAAGCATGTGTACAGGTTGATCTGCATGGGTGAGGCTCTTAGGACTGTGGTCATCTAGTCTGAGTTCTGTAAAGCTTTTCATTTTGAGTTGGTTTCCAGTCTAACCTCGGATCAGACAGTATCCAACACCCTCGGTTGGTGAAATGCCCGTTTTTGTTTCTATCCTTCTTTTTTGTATTCATATAAATAAACAGCATTCATTGGCCTCTTGGCACAGTGTCCACAAAAGAGCTAAGAATGGAGAGGCGACTGAAAGTAGATGTTCTTTCTGCAGCCTTCCTAGTCCTGGAAGTCCATCCCTTCTGGTTAGCAGTGAGGTATATTGGCAGGACAATGCAGAGAACGCTGCTTCTGCCACTGTGCTAGTTGTACCTACTTTAAGGCTTCCAAGGTGGCACCTTCCAACCATTATCAGGGTAATTAAGGCAATTTTTAGCTATGTTTGTCAATTTGCAGGGTAATTTTTTGACTAAACAGTATTCTTCAGTCTCCTCTCCTTCCCCTCTTTTCCATTTTAAAAGATGCTGTTTCCTATATGATGGTGATAAAGTATGTCAGTTGGAAAGCTTCTTTCACAGATACAAAGCTCTTTAATTTCTGGTATGATAAAATTTTATAGTATCTTAAAGGAATTTAAGCTGGTTTTTGTGCATACATATTAATCCAGAGTTCAAAGAAATTGCCCATGAAAACTGAATGGAAGTGTGCCTTTCTCCTCCTGTAACTTGTTCTAATAGTAACCAAGTTTCATCCTGGTGGCATTATGGAATCTGTTTATGTAATGAGTTAGAAAGTTAGGCTAAATTCTGTGCTGTCAAAGCAGTTGGAATTTGCTGATCACAAGTGAAGAACTGTCCTCTTCTAATCAAGCCTCCAATATGAAATTGGAAAGGCAGGAAAAGAATCCTTGGTCCCATGAAATACATGCACCTTGCTTAGATTTCTTCTCTATAGATCATTTAGGAGAAGGGTAGTATTGAGAGTTAATGGGAAATTCAGATTATTCTTTGGTTCAATCTTCAAGTAAAACAGCTTTCCTTTCACAGTTACTTTGTGAGGTGGGATGTCAGTGATTGATGGCTCACAGTGGTACCATTATGGCTCTGCTGGTTTTGTTCTTGGGCATCGTAGATTTGGGCAGATGGGCATGTCATAATGAATGACAAAAACATATGTCTATATCATAAACCAAATTACCAAGGCATGGGTAGCAAACAATTAATGCAACTGCACTTTAGTGAGGAGATGGTGGAGAATTGCCTGGAGAGTGAGGAGGAGAGTCTGACCAGTGGCTGAGGAGAAGGTGGTGCCATGTGTGGCGGATGTTAGAAGTAACCAGTCCCTCTCTCAGGTGCCAGCGATGAGGCAAGGTTGGTGAGGTGATTGGCAACATGAATATAAGGGATAGTTATAAGCCTCATATTTGCTTATTTGTTTGGCATTTGCCCATGCACAATATTTTTAAGTGCGTTCTTTAAGTATTATAATTTATTTCCCATTTGCTCTTGGGTGTCTACAAAGAGAGCTATAGCACAAGACAGGTGTCCTTAATGGAATGGGAGGTGAGATGTACAGCCAAAACACAAATGGACTTGCTGGTTTGCCCCCTCTTATTTATGTATCCCAAGGAGGGTCTGAGCAACAAAAATTTAGGGAGAAAGCTCTTTGAAATGAAAAACCAGGTAAGACTGTATAGGCATTAGTTGAAGTGGTATTTCAGGGGATTCCTATAATAAACTCAACCCATTAATTACTCCTAATTTTCTTTTCTTTTGGTATTCTGGTCACTTCTATGGTTGGAGTATGTTAATATACAATAACAATATAATATGTTTTTCACCTGTAGATGTTTACTGCTCCAGAAGCGGGTTTATTGTACTGTCTCTGTGTGGAAGCAGCTAGTAAAGCACACCTCTATATAGGAAAGAGGGCAAAACATGCTTTCAAAATCCTCACAGCTAATATAATATGGCCCATAGTCACTTCCATCTGAGCTTGCTGTAACTCAGAATAACAGGACAGTCATACACTGTTGCACGGAATATTTTCTGTGGTTTTTTCAGGTTTAACGCCTGCCTGAGGAGCTCTCCACTGAGGAATGTTAGCTTGGTCACAGAAACTCAAAATATAAGTGGAAATGAGGCTAGAGAGAAATGTGATGTTGTGAGTCCGCTGTTGGAATAATCAACATTTGTTTTGACTGTACGAACCCCATAAATTTTGAAAATGGCCTTTACTGGTTGAAAAGAATTGGTAAACATGTAGAAAGTCCTGTGTATATGTATATAGAGGTTAAATCAACTCTTACTTGCTGTAAGAATACCCGGCAGAAAAAACACGGGCTCTGCCTGTACAAATTGTTTGTTCCTTCTGCCACCTCCATCTTAGATGTTCCCTCTGCTGACTATTTCTCATCATTATCGCTAATGGTCTTTTTTTTTTTTTTTTTCTCTGTGTGGCAAATCTCCAGAGGAAAAAAAAAATTGATAGAGAAATGATTAAGGACTGTCCCCCCTGCATTTCTTTCTTTTACCAGTTTGTCAAGCAATAGGCAAAGAGGGCAGTACCTGAAATGATGAAGCCAGTCAGATCTGTATTTTTAAAAATTGCTGCATTTCATCTAAAATAAGAAATGCCATCAAGATGAGTATAACACTGTGCCTTCATTGCTTGTGTCCATTGTAATTAAACAAGATGATAAAATCCACTTTGCATACAATTTTTGTGTTCAGGTTATCATTCATTTGAGCACAGAGAGGATCGTAGATGGTTTCACAGTCCTTGCCATGTCCTAGGCTCTCTCTCTCTTTCCCCCCACTTCTCTCTTACTCCAGAGAAACGTTCAGCGTTTTTAGGTTAGAGGTGGGAATTTCCTGTACAGCACTGCTCTTGGTCATAGAAACTTCCCTAACATAGATTTCAGGTCTACCCTTGTTTGTGGGAGGGGAGAATCTGTGAATCTCCAAATTATTAACCTGTGTTACATTGCAGTTAAGTGAACAGCGTAGGTGGGGCCCAACTCTAGATAAATATTTATGAAGGATCATATGTGCTTAAGGAACAAATCTGTGAAGGTGAGTTTTCCCTTACAGAAATTGAATAGATCCCAAGCAAAATATTTGTAAGGGAAAATATTCACTAATAACTTAATAGTTCTTTACCTTAACTGAAGAAGAGCAGCTGCTCAAATGTACTGTATGATAGATTTTTTTTCTCAATAAATGCCAATACCTTAATTGTTGTCTTTCTCTATTAGAATGCATCCAACAGAGCATACAGCTGGGCTGACTGCTGTGCGCTCCCCCTGTCCCCATAACCACCCAGTTCCTTAAAACCTGCCTTGGGGTCAAATTATTATTTATACTGACAATTTCTCTGCAATCCTCCTTCCAGTTACTTGGTTACAGAATCCCTCTGTCGCTCTTGTGCTGCTGGCAGAGCTGTTGATTTCATTTCATCAGAGAGATGGTAGCACACAAAGGCTGGATAAAAAACCTTCTCGTGGAGGAAGCTACATGAATCACACCCCCCGAAAATTTCTGCATCTAAAGTATCAGGCATGCAAAAGGGTGAAGCTGCTTGTGCACTTTTAATTGCATATGCAGCTATTTTTGTAAGATTGGCTGACCTAATAGGGGATTGTTTTGGTTCTTTCTGAAGCAATTCAGACCGCATCATGAAGAACAGGGCAAGGTAACCTACAAGGATATATATACAGAAAGATGTGTATTCCATCTAAGAAAACCACAGTGGCAAGATACACTCGTTCTTCATTCCAATTAATGCTTTATTTTTACTGACTTACATAAAACACTGGCAGCTGACCAATGACAAGATCCTAGATTATCTGCAGTTGACAAATGTACTAAAGAGTCTAAGATGGTTATAAATACTCTACTTTTTGTCCTCAGTTTGCTGGGATTCGTTATTTTTAGCAAATAGCCAGTCGACCTTATCAAAATGAAGAATCAAAAATAGTCTGGAAAAACACTGCAAGGAAAGGCTATTTTTAGCTCTCTGTCTATTCCCTGCTGCTATCCAGCAAGGTCTGATGGCACAGCTCATGCACGAGCGCTTAGTTATTCTAGGCGAACGCTTGTCATGACCTGTTCTTTCCCTGAATACCTCGCTGCAGAGAGTATTCAATTGATTAAAGATTAATGCATCTGCAAACCATGACAGCTGAAAGCTTTAGGGAGGGGGGAATGTACACTGACAGAGTGTTTCTATCTGCATGTTTCTGCCACGTTATAGTTTCTTTGAAGGGAACACTTGCCTAACTGAATCTCCTCATGTCTCACATCCTTCAGTGGCAGCTATAGCAGCAGACCTCCAAAGGACATTTATGTTTCTTTTTCCTTTCAATTCAGGAAGGCAATAGAGTTACAAAGGCAGAAAACTGTATTGACCAGTGCCATCAGTCACAAAGCAGCAGCACTGGAGGGGTACGATGGACTGGCTCAAGAGATAAAACCATGCAATTGGCTGCT